GCTAAATGTATTATATTTCCAGTAATAATTTACCTGCTGAGCTAGAGTCAAACCAGCACCAGTAAGTCTCATCACTTTCACTAATATCATTTGAATCACACTTTGAGCAATTTGCCACCTTATACTCTTCATTCACAATACAATAGCAATGCTTTATTCCATTGGGACAAGGAAATGCACTCACATAATTTTGTTTAGCACTGATAGCATCAGAGCTTGTATTAATAGTTGTAGTAATCAGCTCACGAACTTGTGGACAGTTAGGACCATTGAAATATACTTCAATATGTTCATAGCGATTAATAATGTAAAGTGTGTAATGTATTCCTTCAATATAGATCCATAATGAAAAAGCATCACGATATTTAGGGCGAGGAGGAAATTCAACTTTATATTTGTTCTGTTGAAGCAAATGGATAAAAATTAAAGGAAAATGCATAGAGGTTAAATGCATGCATGTGATGCACAATGATGGGCATGCCACTGTAGTGTGTATTAAGTAGTTTGAAAATTTGAATCACTCTAGAACTAGTCATTAATTCTAAGGCCATAAATTTCACCTCCACGGCTCCACCAAGTGGTAGATATCAGTGTTTACCTGTTGTAGGACCAGGATTGAGTTCAACAACTCCTGATAAGAGGAGGAGCATACGTAGACAAACAATCAAATAGAGATCATTGTAAATCAGGTTAGAACTGCTGCCTCCAGGTAAAACTATTGACTGGAGGTAATTTGTATCAGTAACAGTAACACCAGTAGTACATTGTACTTGGTAGCAGTTACCTAATAATAAAATACCAGTAAATATACAAGTACAAAGTTGCAATTGTTGTTTACCTGTTGGAGGAATCATCAAGATGTGTCTTAATAAAGAGAGAGAGAGAAAGAGGAGGAGGAGTAAAGCAATAAGAGACAGAGCTGCTGGTAGTTTAGATGTCTTCTCTCCTGATGTAGTACTGCCTGACTTGCTGCTGTCTACTGCAGCTTTGAATGAGTGAGAGTGGTGGCCAATAGCTGGTCTACTGGAGGCAGCTTGACTGTAGTTCCACAGTCCAATACTTGCTCTCCATTGAGAGACATCAATCATTTTGTAATTATTGTTGAAGGCATGTTACAAGACAAGTAGTTCCTCTAATATAAGTAACACTCATCATCACATGACAGTGACTGTTTGCATTACTGTTATTATTAGCATTTCAGTTATTATCCCCAAATATGGTCAACTATGTGTATACCAGTATAAAGGATGTGTGTGTGGTAATAGCTAAAGGGTCAGTACAGGAAGTAGATCTTAGTGTATGACCAGAGGCTGCATGGGGTTATTCT